AGCCTGATGCATAAGCTCACTTCTAACATCATAAAATGCAGTTCTGGTAATTACTGGATTATTACACAGACTGAAAGCTGAGAAGGTGTGCTCTGCACTGGAATGGTACAGTAGGATGAAGTGTCTTTAAGATCTCAGCGGAATTGGCTGAGTGTGATCCTGTGTGGCACACGTGGGAACTGAACTTTCTGTGCTGTCTGACTGAAGCCCTTTTTCTCTCTCTCCCCAGGTCTTAGTGGTGCAATGGCTAGTATAAGTGTTCGCTCGAGTACCCCAGGCTCGCCTACTCACGTGAGCAGTGGCTCCAATGCTAGTCGAAGGAGAAATGGACTCCATGATGTTGATTTGAACACTTTCATATCAGAAGAAATGGCACTCCACTTGGACAATGGTGGAACTAGAAAGCGTACCTCAGCCCAGTGTGGCGATGTCATTACAGACTCACCAACTCATAAACGCAACAGAATGATCTAAACTGCAAAAATTTCAAACCCACCATGCTGCTTGAAAGCCACTTGATCCTCAGAGTACTATTGAAAAGGAAACATGAGGCCATCTTTCCATATTCACTGTTTAAGACAAAGAATTCGATAAATGCCATAAAGGAAATTTTAGATATTACATTAGATGCCTCTTGTAACTACGGCTTTCTTAAACTATATTCTTAGCAGAGGACATCAGATATTGTGTAGTAGTTAGCAAGATCATCATAGGCGAACATGTATCTGTTCCAAGGCTAAAAGTGACCTTACTTGTATTATTAAAGGGAAAGGAAATTTCAGATGTTTATTTGGCTATAGAATTTTTGTTTTTTTGTCCTTTATTTCCTGCTTTGAGTATTTGCTTAAACAGTATTGCCAGTTTGACTGAAATTGTCTTCAACATGACTTGGCATCTTTGTCAAAACTGCAGGCTTCCATTTTTGCAGCACTGTACCATGCACCTAATTTCTGTATAGTAACAGTGTGCAAGTTATAAATATTGGACTGTACCCTTTTTAGTTTTAAAAGCAGTTGATAATTCTGGTGATTGTGTGATAATGTAAAGAGGTGCTATGATGGTCATGCAATTAATATTGAATCAATACAAGGATCTTTATTGGATTCACTTTGTGTGTTCTAGTGCTCTGAAGTAGCAATATTAAACTTTTCCCCAATTAACTTCATAGGCTTTTAAATCAGTTTGAGAAAATATATGTACTTATTGGTATTATCCTTGTGGTAATCATACACAGTGCAGACTGCACCAGTGCTGACCTAAATTTAGAGAAAAATGTCCTGTAATTGGAAAATAGGCTTTTCTGTTCAGTATTAGTGAAGGGTAGGTTTTGTGTACACCCATATCCTATTTTACATTTCTTGTGAAGTAATTGCCCATTGCTGGGGAGGGGTGGGAGGAGAGGGAATGTGGGGAATAGTTGGAAAAGGGGTGTGTTCTAACAAGTAAGACTTCTGGTCACATGTGGAAACTTGGACTAACTTAAACAAGATTCTGTGATGCCATCCCCTTCAGGAGGGAGTGACATGCAGGTTCTGTGAAGTGCTAAGAAAATAATTTAAAACTGGAAGTTGATTATAAAACTCTGGATAAACATGCTGTAAGCATGAATTAAAAAGGATAAATGGCTTTCTTTTTGTGTTTAGCTTACATTCATAGGATTGAACTCTGGCTGCCGTAACTTAAGCGTAGTCTGAAACTGAACTATAGATCAAGACTGATCTGCTGCAAATCTGTTTCTCAATGGGGAAGGACAGATGTCGGTCTCAGAGTGTCCTGACTATTTTTTTACGTAGAGGGAGAAAGTCTTTGGTGGAGAGCTCTGGCTTTAGGGCCTCTAAATCTCTGCCTCAGAAAGGGATAACAGAGGAAGAATAAGAAAATGGAGAGCTCCAACCCTGCACGTTGGGAAAGGGGTATTTAGAGAGGTGGTATGCATGCTTTAACTGGAAGCATAGGCTGATCCTGGGATTGAATATAGCTGTGCTAGATTCCCAGTACTAAAAATTGTGGTTTCTGGTGAAGTTAAGGCACCTTGAGCTCCATGTTAATACACAGCTCTTAAAGACTTTTGCTTACGTGCTTGTAGGGTCAGATCTCTTTTGTATTATCTTCGCTGTTTGAAGCAGACTTCACTGTAGGTTTGCCCTTTTGACCCTGGTGCCCTCTCATTGATGTCTGTAGTCAAGGCAGGACAGCAATGCTGTGTGAGATACTCGAGGCTCTCTACTTGAGCATGATTTCCTTGCCTTGTGGTGCTTCCATCACATTTCTTTACACTGAAGAGCCCTTGAAGATGTCAGCAGTTGCACAGTACTGTAGTGAGAGGCTCTATAATTCATGGACAGCTGCCAGAACTGTCCAAAGCAAAGTGGTAAGAACTGCTCCAACCCCCACCTGTGTTACATAGCTGAACTTGCACATCACTTGAAGACTCAGTATACATTAATTTCAGTTACTGCTATTAACTACAATTCATAAAGTTTAGTTTATGTAAGATGTTAATACTGCATAAAGCTAGTTTTCATTTGGAGACTGCATTTTCAGCAAAGATTTTGAAGATGGTATCTGAATATGTGTTAGTATTTATTTGACTGTTGGCAGAGGGATTTTTCTGTTCTAAAAGAAAGGTGGAGTCTGAACAGAAAGGACAGGTGTGAGAACCATTCTTCAGCTCTTCTGTTTATTTTTTTAACTTGCTTGTACAAGTAAGATGCTTATGCTCTGCAATTTCTAACACACTTTATTCTTGATGTGGTAAAGGTGACATTGTACTGCTATAAGTTCTGCACACGGGGACTGAACTGTAGCGGTGCTGCTGGTCTGGCCCAAATACAGAGCCTGTTCAAATTACTGCTCCCCTTTCTTACAGTGAAATAAATCTTGTTAATGCTCTGAAGCATTAATTCAGTCTATTACCATCTAAAACTAAATTTTTCTGGCTTTTTATTTAATTTGTGCCATCTTTCTTTGAAAGAAAGCAGACTTTGATATTAAACTGGTTGCATTAATGTTTTTTTTGCTTGTACCTTAAATATTTGGCAACTTTTGATTGTTTTTCATTTAGCCCCAACTGTTGTTTGCTCTTTGACCTCTGCCAGAATGATCAAAAATGCATGTATTCACCTGATAAACACAGGAGAACAGGTTAAAAAAAAAAATAAAATAAAAAAAGTCCAGTACCTGTTGCTTTGAAGACTATTTCTTGTGGCAGTGTAGAAAACGGATGTTCTGGAAATAGCTTTCAGCTATTATCCAAACTGTAGCTCCTGGAGCCAGAAGTGAGTTGATTTTCAGTAAGGAACATTGACTGGAGAACTGTTTAGTTTGGTAAAAATGGTGCTTACTTTTGCTTTCTCCTCTGACTCGTGCAGTTGCCCGGTCTCTTCTCCATGTACATCCAATCTAACCTGAATGTGCGGCAGTTACATAAAGTACATCCTGCACTGAAGCTACTGAGCTTGGCTTGCTTATTAATGAAGTAAGTTTTAAATGTTCAATTTAAATCTATATTACAATAAAGTAATGCAAAAATGATTTTGGTTGAAATTGAAGTCCTGCAGTTAAACTTACTTTCAAATGTGGTTTACCCAGCTGGAGTAATAGAAACTCTAAGTCATAATAAACCTAATAAAAAAAAAATACAACTAATCAGGCTGCTTTGTAGTTCTTTTAAGTTTCTAAATAATACAGTCCATGGGTAATCCCAGACAAGATGTGATTAGTGTGAGCTGACAGGCTGCCTTGGTTGTGTGGATCAGGACTTTGCTTGAATGCACTTTGGTGGTAGTTGTTTTACACACAGGTTTTTGTTTTGTCTCCTTTGGACTAATGATGGTACAAAAAAATTGGAGTGTACTACATTTGTACAAGATGTTCTGCAGACTTCAACATCACTAATACTTAAAAGAAGCATCTTAAAGAGATTTAAGTGGCATAGTTTAGGAAGTTAAGTGGTGTTGACTTCAACATTAGAGCTTTCCAGTCTTTTGCAACAGACTCTTTGGACTTAAGTGAAATCAGGTGCTTTAATTAGCAGTATTTCCTGCTTCATGTGGGTGTCCCTAAACCTGCAAACTATTTTCTACTTGCTTTATCAGCAGGTTTTAGAATTCCATTATGAAGGAAAGCTTTATTTCATAGGAGCTTTCAAGTTTAAAACGTATCTTTTTAATTAATGTCAGCATTTTTTCACTTACTTAGCCACTGAAATGTTCCAACAGGAATTTAGAAAGATTCTTAAATTGCTTCTAAACCCCAGCATCTTTCAATTATTAGCCTAGAGCTAAGTAATCCTTTGGCAGGGCTGAGGAATGCACGCCTGATGTGTTCTGCGTGGTTCTCCACACCAGGCGGGGCTGGTGGGGTTGTGTGGGGCAGCCACAAGGCCCCGTGGGCTGCTCATTCCAGAGCCCTCTGCTTGTGCCAGGTCAGGGAAAGGCCCTGGCTCTCCCTGGCTCTGCACGGGGCTCCTGGGGATATTTGGAGCCTGGGGAATTCCCTCAGAGCCCTGAGTCAACACTGGTGCTTTCTGCTGCCCTGGTCCCACTGGGCCCCTCTCAGACTGTCCCAAAAGGGCACGTGGGCTGTACTGAATAAACCAACCAGAGTCCCTTCTGTGTCGCAGGCAAGCATCACCTGGCTCTGGGGGATTTTGGAGAAGAGATGGAAGCCAGATGTTTCTCAGTGGATAGTGAGATTGCAGCATTTCCCCTGGGACTTTGGCTGGTGGTGCTGCTGTCCCAGCAGTTACCGGGGTTGTGGAACGCCAGGATTGTTCATTGGTCACAATGGGGTGGAAGGGGGGAGCACACAAAGTACCAGGATCTCCTTGGAATCTGCTGTGAGCCCTTTGGGCAGACACTGCCTTGTAGAAAACCTTAAAACTCAGTATTAAATGCATCGATCAGCTGGTTAAAACAGCATATAAGACCAGTCTTAATCATGCTTTGTAATATCTCACTGTTCATCTATCACACTTATTTGAAGGTGAAGTTGTTTCTGAATGCTATAGAACAGCAAGCTATTCATGAAGGGGAATCCTGGGGTTCTTGTTGGTGTTGTCATGGTGTAACAACTTTCCATCTTAGGAAAACTCCCAATGCTTTTCCAGCTCCAAAACCTAAGCCACAGGAATTGTTTTTGGTACTTTGAACACCTGGTGTGTTTTCTAAAAAGCATCAAAGCAGAGGATCCAAAATGTTTGCATTTAAACTAGGTACACTCAGAACCTTCTTCTGTTTCTACTGGAGTACTGAGAGGGCCACATCCAGCTGCCCATGCAGCCCTGTGTACCTGTGCTCACAGAACAGGTCAGTGCTGCCCAGTCCAGAGGTCAGAGTTTGTTACTTTCCTGGGCATTTCCATTTTTATATTGCTGTTTAAACCTAGCTTTCTGGTTTTGAAGTGTATTCATTGAGTACCATCAATAATGGGGTATGTGAGATCAAGGTGGGGAGAAAATGCCAAGTTCTGCCATTTGAGTAATTATTTGATCTCATAATTAATAACTCATACTCTCTAGTGTTAGCTGTCTGCAAAATGATGGTCTCTAGATCACTTTCAAACCACAAAAATCTCTGCATCTTCAGCATGCTTTAGGCCAGTCTTGTGGCCGTTATTAAAAAAATATCTGCTGTCCTTTTTTGAATATATTTCAAACTTCAAAGCTCTGGGGAGAGAGCTTTGCCATAAGTTTGCAAGAGTGATATTGCCATATCTATTTCATGGAGTACAGCTGAAGGTAACTAATGCTGTTTTCAACAAAAGTGTTCTAATTCCAGTTTTCCTATTTTCTCTGAAAGCCCCAACAAAAAGAAATACATGGTTTGTGCTTAGAGGTGAATGAACTTCTCATCTGAGGGGGACCATCTTCTAGAGACTTGCACTGAATGCTCTGCCAGTAATCCAACTGTTTATTCTACTGAGGGAACTATAATTTTGTATTTTTACTTTCATCTCTAAGCTTTTCTGCTGAAAAAGCTCACTCAGTGAAACCTGTTTTTTCCTGACTACATTTAAATTGCTTCCTGTGAAAGAGCATCTGTGATCTCCCATGGGGTAGGCAGGCTTTTTTTCCTCTCCCTGGAGAAACTGTTGTCCTTACTGTGAATCACTGAAGATGTGTATCTTGCTGCTAAAATGAATTTCAAAGTCTTTGATTTAAGTGATTGCAGTTTTCAGAGCAGGAATCTGCTGAAGATGCTCTGAATGTTGTATCTGCGGAGGCTTGTGTACTTCCAGATGACTGTGCAGGGATGCAACTCATTTAGAGTCTGAGATTATTAATTAAAACGTGATTTGCCTGCATCTGCTTACAGCTTCTGATGTAGTCTTGCCAGAATTCAGAACTCCTTAGGCCTAGACACATATCCCAAAATATGAGTTCATTTGTCCTGTGTAGAAAATTTCCAGAAAAATGAGTTCAACATATTTAAATCCCAACAACTGGGTCTTTAATACCTTCAACAGAAGACCTAAGAGTTCCCTCAGAGTAAGTTTCCAGGCTGACCTGATCTTTCCTGGTCAACTCACAAGCCTTGTCTGCATCTGGTTTTCTTCCTCCTGTGTGTGACCATACCCAAGAACCTTCCCCCTGTGCTGAACACAGCCTGTCTGAAGGTCCAGGTATTTCTGGTAAGTGTTTTCACATAATTTGTGGTGGTTTTTCCAAGTTAACATCATGTTGGATTGCCTGCAGGTTGTGGGGCTTCCAGCCCTGAAGATACTGCAGCCTCCATCCTGTTCTTGGACCTGCTTTGGGCAGAGATTGGAGCAGGTAACCTCCCAGACTGCCTTTCCACCTGAATTAGTCTAAGATTTGCTCTGTCCTGTCGTTCTCAACACAGTTTTATCAGTGAGGGGGTAAAAGGCACTGCTGTCCTTGCTGCCAAGCCATACCTGCTGCTCAAAGACACTGACCACTGACAAGAACGAGTTTTCCTTTCCTGAGGCACATGCTCCTCTGGAACCTTAAAGGTTGTCATCAAATTTGCTGCTCCTAAGTTTAGGTAGCCCTTCAAAGCAGAAACCAATCCCAAATTTGACTACATGGATTTCTTGTCTCCATCTTGCACGTTTTATGAGCTTTGAAGTAACTGGGTGGATTTGGGCTGGATTGTGAAGGTGCAGGCAGTTTGTGTCACCTGATGGAATCATCACCTCCAAAGGAAGAGTATCTGCCAGAGCCTGGTTTTGATAAAGGCATGAAAATGCCATTTTCTAAGGGCTGAAATTCTGATTAAATGTTTCTCAGTGGTTCTGTATTAAGGCCAAGCCCCCTCCTCATTCATGTTCTGGCAGGTTGGCAACGAATACAGTGAACTGGGGAGTGAAACGTGGTAGATGTTGGATTCTGTTAATGTGCCTTCTGATGTGATTTGATACAGGGGAAAGGGCAGAACACTGAGGATTAGACACATAATCAGTTAAGGCTTTAGGTGTTGTTATGTCCATTTCTTCCATGACTTATTGAGATACCTTAACTCTGATTTTATACCTATTATAAAGGTCTAAAACTTTCTACTTATTGGACAGTGTCTCAGGAAAGCACCAAGTAGGCTGTTGGCTTCTTGAAATTGTTTTGCATAAACCTGGGATATTGCCTGAAAAGTAGACCCCAGATTAGTTATTCTGTTTCAGCCTAAAATCTCCAGAAATTCAGATCATTTGAAGTTGTTCCAATACCTGAGTGAGCCCAGACTATGCACAGATGGTCAGCAGGAGATGCTGAAAAATAGAAGGAACAAGTGATGTGCAAGAGGTGGTACAGGAGCATTGGAAGATAAAGGGAATTTTCCTGTGGGCTCTCATTGCCCTCAGCTGCAGTAGCTCTGGGTTTAGGTTGGGGTAGGTTTGTATTCCTCCTGGTTCAGTGTTGGCTGGAGCTCCCAATGGATGGTTTGGGTGACTTCAAAAAGTCATTTTTACAATGGTTCACGTGCAGTATTAGAGCTACACAAAGCCAAGTGGCCTAAGTTCCCAAAAAAAGCCTTGAAGCAATGGTATGGATGGAATCCTTTCTCCTTTTGAAGCTTATGGCTTTGGTTCGTGGTTTAGGCTCAGTGGAGGCATCTCTGTGCCACAGGGGATTTCATGGGAGTGAAGCTGATCTTTAAAATATCTCCCAAGTTTTTTAAAGCAATGCAAAGAGCCCTTGGGATTATTTTGATGCCATGCCTAGTCTTTTTACCCCTTTGAAAACCAGTCCTTCAGCAAACAATTCCTCAGGTGATTCTTGCCAATGATTTTGCAATGCTCTTTGTGAAACAAAATGCCCAGAGTCAAGTAGCAAGTACTGTGCTCAGAGGCAAGCAGGTGGTGGCTGTAAAAGGTGGTGATCTGTTGCTGCACTGAGAATCTCATTGCTTTGAGAAAAAAATCCCAAGCTGCTCTGACCACAAAAATGAAGGTTTGGTCTGAAGAATGTGCAGCTACGTGTCAGCTGTCCATGGCCTGTGGTGTAGGGCAAGATGGCAGCAGTGCTCCTGCCAGGAGGCTGGAGAAAGCACAGAGTACCAGGGGATCTCGTCTGCTGCCTTTGCAACCTGCCTGGCAAGCACTTGGAGTAGGTGTGAATAAGGATCTCTTGAAGGAATACAAAAAAGGGCCACCAGGGGCCATCACCTTGAGTTTGCCCTTTCAAGTGTTATCTATAAATAAGGTTCCCCAGAGCAATCCAGCTGGCACCCTCTAGTCAAGCTCATCATGATCTCAGATAAAACTATCAAGTGGAGCCAGATCTTCAGCTGCCTTATGGAGCCTTGCCAATTTCCACTCCTTGGGAATGAACTGGAGGAGCTTCTTCCCATGCTGGAGCCTCCAGGAAAGAAGAGGGTGAACCTGCCAGTGGTGGCTGTGTTGCAGCTCACTGATCTTTGCAGGGTGCAGATAGAGATCTCATGTCCCATAAGTCCCATGTGGTGGTGGAGCCCCTGGGGTTTTTTTTAAGTCTCACTCTAGAGCATGCCTATAATGTAGCAGCAATCCAACTGCTGCCTAAATATTTTTGAAAAGAAGCATTTGTCCCCGTATTAGCAGGCAGAGAAAAGGCGAAGTGGTATGGGCAGCCCGAGGTGTGGGGAAGGAGTCCTGGCTCTCACAGAGTTCGGAGTTTTGCTTCTTGTGTATTAGCCCAGATTTTCTTTTGGAATGTGGCATCCAGCAGGTTGTGCCTAGAGATGCTCTGCCCTGTGTGATGGCAGTGCTGCATCCCTTCCCCGTGGGTTTGCTTCCTAACAGTGCATTTGCCTGCTCCTGTGACTGCTGGGAAATCAATGCTTTTTTTAGCTGATGAACTCCTAAGATTATCAGATGAACAGAACTGTGCAACAAAAAAATCTTGAATTTACTAGCTGTGTTTGTATCCTTAGAAGCACAGTGTGCTGTCATCTTGCCTTTATGAAGATCCAAACCCATCCTGACAGCCTGCTTTGCCTGCTTTTTCAGTGGCTGAAGGCAACTTTGCAGGCTCTTGGAGCTGAAACTGTCACTTTTGTTAATCCTGTGTGTTTCTTGCATTGAAACTTTCAAACATATAGAGTTGGTGTAATCTTCATATTAATGACTTTATTATACAAGAGTAACTCTTGAATATCTAACCCAAAGCAAACTTTAGTCAGGCAGCAGTGAAATGGGTACCAAGATGGCCAAGATGCTTTTGAGGTATTTGGTAAAAGCTGTGGCACTGCCCAGCCCAGCAGGGTGAGGCTCAGGCTGGTGCCTTGGTTGCTGCAGGGAGATTCATGAGGCAGTGGATGGAGTGATACTTTCCCACTTCTGCTACTTGTATCTCATTCTGTTTTTGTATTGTGTCCATTATCTGCCACAGTGACACTTAATCCATGTGGAAAAGTCCAGGTTTAGCATTTCACGTCATGAAGCTGGTAATACATTGCAAATTAAACATTATTTGCTCTCTTTTCTTCTCTCTCAAGTCTGTTTCCATACAGGATGTGCTTAAGAAAGGCAAGATGGAAAAATAAAATCAATAATCATTGATGATAAAATATTAATGTTTCTTCAGAATGAGGGGTGGGATAGAGCAGCCCTGACTGCAGTACTGCAGAGTTTGCAGGAGCATTGGAGAGCAGAGGTATGGGCAAGGAGAAAAGAATCTGGTGTGAGCTGACTTTTCTGGACTCTCTGAAGGTCTCTGACGCCTTGCAGAGTAAAGTGGGTGCTGTGCAGTGCCTGTCCTGTGTGTCAGCATGGGAATGGCAGCTAGCATCACCTTCTACCCCATGGTACTGGAAAAATCCTGATAGGGTGTGTATGCACTGCTCCTGGGGGGATGCAACAGGAATGTCCCTGCAGCTTCTGCTGTCCAGCACTGTCCCCACAGCACACCTCCCCTGTGTGCCCTGTGCCAGGTCTGTGCTCCTGGGCTGTCCTCTTCTCTGGGCATTGAGAAACCATCAGGGAGCTGGGCAAGAGGTGCACCAGTACTGAAATGAGTACAATTATTGTAAGGTGTGGGTATGACTTAGAAAGGATTACACAGAGAAATAGGCCAAGGTTTCCACATGTTGAGGGTGTCATCCCTTCCCAGTGGTTCAGCCCTCCCAGTTACCCCTTCACAACAAGTTTATTGCCATTACTGTGCCAGAAAAGTGTGTTAGTGACAGAAAAGAGCAGACTGTCCCTGTGATGTCCCTGTGATCTTTGCAGGCTGCCTGGCAGAACCAGCTCTGTCCTTGCTGTGCTGGCATGAGGGGATCTGACACCTCGGTTCCCAGCCTCCAGAAACACTCTGTGTTCACATCGTGCTCCTTTTGGTCAGGTTTCCAGAATTTCCTTTTAGGTGAAAGCCTTCAGATGGTATTTATGTGAACGTGAAACCCCATCAGGCATGGGCTGGTTTGGGTTTCCCAGCCCATTCCTTGGGTGCTGCTGCCATCTAGGGTGTGAGCCAGCAGAGCCTCGGTGCTGGCCACGGGCAGCCACGGCCTTATCACTGTCCCACAGCCTTATCACAGTGTCCCCAGCCTTATCACAGTGTCCCCAGCCTTATCCCAGTGTCCCACAGCCTTATCCCAGTGTCCCACAGCCTTATCCTGCCGTGCACAGCCTGCTCTGTAGGGTTTGCTCCTGAAGGGTTCGTGGCAGCCAGGCCGGGTCCCACCGCAGCTGCCAGGCCTGAGCCACATTTGGGGGTTAGACATGGATGTACCACCTTAGTACAGTGTTTTATTCCAAGGAAGAAGTGAAGGAGTGCAGAGGAGCCCTGTTTGGAGGTGTCAGTGTGGCGTGGGGGACACAGGGTTTGGTTTCTGGCCCTGCCAGGGCTCCCTGTGGGTGCTGCAGGTACAGTGACGGTGCCGGGGCTGGCGGGAGCCCTGGGCTCAGCCCTGGCCGGGCAGCTTGGCTTGGTGGTTGTTTAAAGGTTCTGTGCAGGCTGCCAGCGTGTGAGAAACGGGGCAGAGACGGCCGTGGTGACTCTGAGTGAAGCTCCTCTGAGGCAAACTTGTGGTGTGTGTTCCACCTGGGCTGTGCTGCCACCTTTGCTTCTGTGTTAAACAGGTCTGGTCTGCCACTCCAAGGAGTTCTTACACACGCTTAGAGAGAACATGAGCCAAAGCCAGGCTGGCTCCTGCCCAGCCTGAGGGGCACAGGGAGGGAACAGATGTTCACCTCAAACCAAAATCACTCCTGAGCTTGAATCTGCACTAATGGCTCTGGCTCTGCATCAAGGACTTCAAAGCAAAAGGAATTTTTTTCAATAGTTCCAGCTCAGGTATAACTGAAATTCCATTTTAGAGACTATTTCTACAGATTCCATATTTGTGAAGCCCAGGAAACAGGACTCACTTTTTTGCAGCAAACTGGAGCTTGGCTGAGTGTGCTGTCACCACATGGATTTTCCCTTTTCCTCCCTTGGTGAGGTAAAGCTCTGAGCTCAAATTTCTGGTTAAATAAATTTGCATACAGTGTGAAATCCCTCCCGACTGTCCTGGAGCCAGGTGAGGGGCTGCCAGGGCTGCTTTCCACGCGTGGTGTGGATGAACCAGGCACTGAGTAATCCCAATGAATAGCACCACTGTATTATTGTGACCCTTCTGATTGAAGGAATAGCCTTTGAGAGGCATGTGGACTTCAGAGCAGGAAACACAAACAAGTACATTTTTTTAACCTGTTAAATGGTTATTTTTAACCATTTATGTAAGTAGAATCAAAGCTGTGGATCTGCATCTTATTCTGGCAAATCGTTTCTCCCTTGTGCCCCCCTGTGGTACCTCCTTACTCAGTTTTCACTCAGCTGTACCTCACCTTTTCTTCCCTTTCTTCATATCCTCTAGTTTTTTCATTGTTTTAAATAAATCTGTGTTGAAATGATCTATTTCTATTATCTATATTACATAGTCCATAATTTACAGTTTTGAGACAAAGTCCACAAAAGGGCCAGCAGGAATGAGGTGTTTTTATCTCAATGGGAGCTATGCTTTGTTCCAGCTTTCCTATTGATTTTGATAAATTTCAGCAACTTAGAGCACAGATTCTGACATATTTTTCATGTTCTGTGGCTGTAGAATAAATCAGAATGAATGGATGGATCAGATATTAGAAGATCCATAGTTTCCAATGTTCTTTTGGGAAGCCTTATAAAGTTATTAGTCCATGCAGGTAGCTTTTCCTCCTCCATTTCTTACAAATCAGTTCTTTACTCAGCTGCTACAACTAGGGTTGGTCAAACTTTAGGGTGTGCTCAGGAGTGGAGACATGACTTAAAACATGCAAAATAATACTGGAGTGGAGTAATTAATTAATAATAATTAATGTTTGTGTCCCACAGAAAGGAAAGCAGCTTCCCTTAGCAGCCATGCAGAGCTTGGAGCAGAGTTGTGGGGTGACTTGCCACAGAGCCTGTGCTGGATTTGCTCTGCTTTCTGATGTGGAGGCACAGCAGGAGCCTCAGCTGCAGGGGACATGGCCACCTGAGGTGTCCTGGTGCGTGTCACCTCCTGGAGGACAGCTCTGTCCTCCCTGGGTTAACCTGGCTGGTGCCCTGTGGTAGGAGGGGATACCCACACCTCATGAACCAGCTCTGGGAAGCTCCAGCTCTGCTGCTGCTGCTTCAGGCCAGAAGACCCCAAACCTGATGGTTTTGACATAAAGGAGATGATTTCACTGATGAAATTGGCCAGAAACTGGCCATCATTGGCCTGATGAAGGTGCATTTCAGCACAGGTAGGCTCCTGGATGCATGGCTTTCCCTTCATATTTTACTTTGGGACTGATTTGCTCAGAAATATGAGGCATTGCTTCCTGCTTGCATGTCTGCCTGGCATCCACAGATGGTGAACATGAAGTCCCTTGTTAGGCTTTTCCTCAGAGTGGTATAATGGGCTCCTATAAACTGGGAGTTTGGAGTAACAGCCACAAGTCACTGCATAGAACTCATTTTAGACTCCAACCAATACAGTTTGTGCTGTGGAAACACCTTTAGTGTCTTCTAAACTTTCAGTTTGGTTTGGTGCAACATCTCCCCTGTTTTGTAAGAGTCCCAAAACTTGTTCTTGGATAAATCTCCATTTCCCAGCTGGCTTTCAGCAAGTTCCAGATCTTGTCCTAATTATTGCAATGTGAGCATATGTTATGTAAAGAACTGACAAAACCCAAAATCATCATTGGGAAAACCCTGGAATACTGATGGATTTTGTGTGAGCATCCAAAGTGGGACAGATTACCTTCCTTTCATAGATCTAAGCTGCAGAAAAAAGAAGTTAGAGATGTCCAAATCTGCACATGAGGAGCTGTGGGTACCCCCAGGTGTGACCACCAAGGTCCTCACACAGGTGCTCTGTGCTCTGAGCTTTGCTCTTTGGCTGGAGCAAGGCTCTGTGGTGTCACCCTGGTAACACCCAGGGGCTGCAGTGTGGCCTTGCTCTTCTGTGACCCCTGTGAACTCCACACCAGGTCTCTGCTCCCACCAGGAGCTGCCAGCAAATAGGTTTATAGAAGGATAGTGGCAGAAGACTTGGCAGCTGACAGCAGAGCAGCTGTATTTGCTGTTTCTGTCTGCCAGAACACAAAGCAGAATTAATTTAAGCTACTGTACAGGTTAATACATCCTTTAAGGTGAGAGATACTGTATAAATATAGTGGCACCAACATCCTAGGCAATATTTTAGTATGAAATTTCGTCTGACCTTATTAATTTTACTTGGAGAAAAACATAGAGGAAATAAAAGAAAGAACACATCATGTCAGGTTGTCCATTTATGATCACAGAAGCCCTGCTCTTGTCATCCATTGCTGGTTGATGCTGGTGCTGGTGAGAAGAACTGAGACAGTGAGAGAGGCACAAGATCACTTTACAGGGTGAGCTGTTTCTGCCCTGGTTTTCAGGGCTCCGAGCCCTGGTTTTCAGTTGGGCATACTGGTATTGCTCCAGTTGGAGCAGTTTAGCTTTCAGATGGCCCAGCATCCCCAGGAGGAGAGCCTGACTTTGCCAGGAGGTACTGTCCACCCTGGCTCCCTGTAGGGCAATTTCTCTTGGTGCTGGTGACAGTGCTCTGCCCAGCAGGGTCTCAAGGAGCTCCTCCTTCCTGCACAAGGGTGCTTGTAAGCTTCCTAAAGCTGAGGTGTGCTAAACATGTTCCTACTCTGCTTAACTTGGGTTTTTCTGCTCCCATGTATCCAGCTGATCAGGGCTGTCTGTACCCTGATCTGGGTAGGGCTGAGATGGTCTCAGCAGTTTGTGTGTCACCTCCTCTTCCCTGAGCTGTTGGGTGGCCCTGTCCCCTGGGGAAATGAGGTTGTGTGAGCCCTGTGGCACTGAGGGGAGGCAGGAGGAAAATAAATTGCAGAGGTTACACAGACATGTCAGGAGCTGGGGAATGCTGTTTGAATGGAGGGCCTTCACCACTCAGTTTGCAGTGATGTTGCCAGAAACCTTGCTCAGCTGAGGAGCCTTGGGAGTTTTTTTGTCTTAGTTTTAAGCCATTAAGGGTGTTGCCATGTGTCATTAAGTGTGAGTGAGTTCTGCCAAGGATGGGAGCTGGAGACCTTCATTCATTGTAGTAGCCTGGTGGCTGGAATTCCCACATTACAACATGGCTCCAGGCAGTGGTGATTCAGAAGGAGGAAAAAATGTTCCCTCTGTTGACACATCAATAATTATTCTAAAGGCATCTGAGGGACCATGGCCCTGGGAATATTCCCACTTTCCAATAGTGAAAAGGTTTGCTACTAATTCTTTTAATTCTTTCAGCTGCTTTAGGATGCATAATAAATAATATCAGACCAGAAACCTTCATCACAGCTCCCCTTCAGAAATCCTTGGGCTGAGAGGAGAGCTGTTTGGAAACACTTTGTATCATCACCACTGCTTTTCATACTGTGGTAAAATGAGGATAAATCTGTGCTGCTGTAATTACATGACAGTGTAAAAAGTCTGGAAATCTGTCCAGGTAGGGTGGGAGGATAAACCCCGGTGTCAGACCCCTGATGACTCCTTTTGGCTTTGGTTTCCTGCTCTGTCACTTTGTGAATACATTTGGCAGTGGCTGGAGTTCAAGTTACAGCCACACAGAGTAAAAGTGAATGTCACTGAAGATGTGCTCTGGAAAGAAGATGTCAACCTGCTGTACATGACATGGGATAGCTTGAGGATTATTTCTTCCTAAATGGCCTAATGCAAGCAATAACTCTCCTGGAGAGCAAAGAGGACACAGCACCCAGAGAAGTTCTGCAGCATTTTTACGTTTCCCTTAACCTTATAAACACCATTTTTAATGGGCTGTTATCAGGATGTCAGGCTGGGAATGTTTGCCCAGCCTCTGAAGGCATGCAGACGTGCTGTGGAGCGAGCAGGGAGAGCTGGTGCACACTGAACAGGAGAGGGCACTGGCACTCCAGCAGCTGTGCTGGGCTCAGCTGCCGAAGGATGGATTTTTACTGCAGATCAGCACACACACTCTCATCATCTTCTGCTCTTAATGTGAGAAAAGAGTCTGTGAAAAGAGTGAATGAACTGCATTTATTGTCTGTGTCTCTCTAGGGAAAGGGAAATCCACTTGCACCAGGTGGGAGCCTGCCCCTTTGCTTTGAACTTCATCTGCTGGTGTCTGGTGAGGCTCCTGTGAGTGTCTTTTTGAGAAACTCTGCTTTAGTGTCCATCTCTGCACCGGCATTAGGTATTCAGTACACAAACGAAGGTGACATTCATGCTGACCGAGGCAAGCTCAGGTTGCGCATTCTCTCCTGCAGATGTGGAAGTGCAGCCCTTCACCCCAAGAACTTGTGTGTGCTGCCTCTCCTCCTGCCTCATCTCTCAGCCATCAGACTCTGAAAGGCTGAATTTCCCTCCTGCTTCACAGCATTAACCACAGTGTACTGGGAAGCAATGTGCAAGTGGCCCCTAACCAGTGAGGAGCTCTAAGTCAGGCTCTGTCCCTCTGGCCACCATCCCAGCATCTCCAAACGTGATGCTCGTGAAGGGCTGCATGCCCTGTCTCAAAATGCTGGACACTGACCTCTTTTTTACTTTTTTTTCTTTCCTTCTTGAATTTCCATCTCTTTTTTTTTGCTTTCACCTTTTTGCTTTGCAACATGTAAAGGCTCTATCATACTGGAAAGAACCAAGTTCTATTTGTTTTCCAATCTAATTAGTTTTAATTAGACCCAAAGTAAAGCTTTCGTGGAGCTGTCAGCATAATTACAGGCTGGGAAAGCCTTCCTGCTGAATCTAAATCCAGCCCCCGGCTTCCTGGTCCTGACAGAGTGTGGCAGAGGAAGGGGGAACAAGGCAGAAGAAGGGGGAACAAGGCAGGGGTGACAGCAGCCCCGTTGTTTTTCTCCCAAATCCTTTGCAATTTTTTCCTGCTCTGTATAAAAGTTTGTAAAAGGCAAAGCAGAATAGGCCTGACAGCAACAGAGGGAAATATATTTAGAAACATGAAAAATAGGAAGAGAAAATGTTTTATTTGCATTATTCACCAAGCTCTATTATTTATTACATTGCTGTGCCAGTGCCTGGTTTTATAACTCCCAAAGAAATGATTGTGCTTGTGAGGGCAGCTTTATGCTGCTGTCTCTTAGATCTGGACTCTTGATACGAGGCATTCTTTGGCTGTTGTTGCTGTGAGGGTGGGGAGGCCCTGGCACAGGGTGCCCAGAGAAGCTGTGGCTGTCCCTGGATCCCTGGAAGTGTTCAGGGTCAGGTTAGATGGGCCCTGGCACAGCCTGGGATGGTGGAAGGTATCCCTGCCCATGGCAAGGGGATTGAAATGAGGTGATCTGTAATGTTCCCTCTCACCCAAACCATTTCATGGGTCTGTTTCAGCACTGCTTAGTTCAGATGGTGAATTTGTCAGGTCTGGTTTTGACAGGAGGAAGGTGAACACATTTATTCTGCTTGCTGTGTCCCCAGCTCAGCCTTCTGCTGAATATTTCCTGAGGTTATTGTGTGAGCTTGGGCAAGGGCAGGCAGGAAGGTGCAGTGGAGTGATTTCCATGCTGGATTTAACAAAGGTGATGGGGCAGCAGGACCTGCTTTCCAGCCCGAGCAGATCCGTGGGGACTTCATCCTCCTTGATAACCTCCACAAGCACTGGCTTGTCCTCAGGCTAATCTAAACCAAAAGGGCTGTCCTGGGCAGCAAAGGCACATCTCAGTCTTGCACAAGAACATTTAGGATGTCACTACATTTCAGCACTGTTTGTGAAAGGCTATGGAGCTGCCGGTGTTCTGTGGGGTGGTTGGGATTGGCAGTGATCATGCACAGCTGGGTATAAGGGAAATGTATGAGCTTAGGAGAGCCTTTCCTGCACTTTTCATAGCATTACAGAAATGAGAATGATGTTTTCTTGACACAGGAGAGCAGAACTTTGGCGTTGATGTGGTTTGGTTTCTTACTGTAGGTTTGTGGGAACACTGTCCCTTGGAGCAGGCTTCTTCTGCTGCAGCAGCTGCTGCCCACCACATCTCTATGGTCACCTCAGATTAATATTTTTCCACTTATCACATAGGTAAGATTTTTTTTACCCTGTCACTAAAAATCCACAGCTCATTGGAGTCTGTGCCTTCCAATACCTCTCGATAGGCAAATATTTGCACATATGTAAAAATATTCATTAATTTGCACGCAATGCCTCATTCAGGTCCACATGCCCTTTAATGAGGCTCTTAAAAACTGTCCTGATTCAGTGGTCACCTGAACCTTAAATAGCCTGGAAAAAATAAGGAGCTAAAATGTTTCTCTATGAGAATGCATAAATATTCAAATGCTATATAAACTAAAAGTGCTCTCGTCTCATCCCACAAACCATTTGAGACCATTGCTCATTCAGCCACGGGAGGATTTGAGTACTTTAAAAAAAATTGCCACAAAAAACAATCTGCAGTGTGCAAAGAGCTGTTCTGCAAAGCATCTTGTAGGCATTCAGTGATGCACCCCTGAAGGATGTATTACCTCCAGCTGGCTGACTCCAGCACATCCTCCTTCCTCCGTCTAGATGGCACTCTGCAGTCTGCTAAAGCCCTGTGCAAATGAGCACGGAGGGGAAGTTTCAGCAGCCACAGCCGGCAGCCTGGAACTTTAGTTGCAATTTTGTCAAACTCTGCTTACGTGACTGGGCAGGAGGGGAAAGGGAGGAGAGAGAAGGGAGAGAAATTACATCAGTGGAACCTTTTAGAGTTTATGAGCTCTGGGAACTTAGAACAGTCTTTTCTTCTGGAGCAGGTGCTGGTCCCTTAATGCTCACCTGATAATTATGTGCTGACTATTCTACTTAACCACTTCTACCACTCACCTGCATATTTCTTGTTCTTGTAGGTACTTCTGAGTCTTTCTGGTAATGGATATTTGGCCCATCTGAGCTTGTTCACCCTTTCTGTCCCCCAGATCTCACAGCCTGGCCTTCAAGGGCTTGCAAATAAAGCAAAAGTGTTAGAAAATAAGGATGCTCCTCAGATACTGACATACTGCTAAGCTGTCTCAGGGTAATGTGGTTTTACTTTTAAAGGTAAATTTATGTTCTTCTACAGGTTTATTTTTCTGGTTATTCTTTGGCATAAAGAGAAATGTCTGGGGGCACCAAATACAAAGCAGGATCCAATAAAGGCAGCTTGGGGAGGACGATGAATGAATGAATGAATGTCGATGTGTTGAGATGACTGGGGGAAGTGCAGTGAGGAAGTATGAAGAGAGATGGAGGAGGTGGGAACAGCAACACACATTTTTAAACTGCATTAGAATGGCAGCATCCCCAATAGAAGCAGAATGCCACGGGTGCCATCTTTCCAATGGTCTGAGTTCGTGGTATGGATTTCAGAATGTGAGACAGTCAAGCTCCTTAATCTGCAGATATCAGGGGGTGCCCAGGGTACATATGCAAGATGTGTATGCAATTCCCTGTATAGCTTATTGTAAAACTGTGGAGTTTATTGGCTTAAATGGGATGTTTGGAGAGCATTCCAAGCTGCTGCAGGAACCCTCCTTTCCCTGTGCTGGGGCACTTGGCCATGGTCTTGTGCCAGTAGAAATCTGCAGCAGACATTGCTTAGCTGTTTTCCAGGAGCAGCTCTCTGCTGGGTGGCAGTTCTCAGAGCAGGGTTTGCCAGTCCAGTGCCCATTGTCACCAGGGTATGGTTCTGCCCTGGAAGCTCACTGGTGCTGTCTGGGCTGATGGTGTAGCACAGCTCACCTGCTCCTGTACCAGCTCCCACTGCTTCCTGTCCACTGCTGTCACTGTCTCTGGTGAGATCACCTGCATGCCTGGAAGCACTTCTTAAAGTTCTACCCTTTAATCTCTGCCCCTCTCACGTGGGCAACTCTTGTACAGCTGATTCTTGCCAATGTGCATGAGTTCATTTTGCTAAACCCACATGTGCCTTGTTTGTTTAGTGTTCACCTGATTGTTGTTGCCTGTTTGGGGCTAAGGATCTCTGGGAAATGGTTTGTAAAGCTGCTGCCCAATCCCTCAAATCCATGCCCTCAAGGCCTGCTATCTGAAGCAAGATAGAAGAGGATGACGTGTGTGCAAATCAGGAGATTTAAATAAATTAAATTACATAATCTTCTATGTGTGTCTATTGACCAAAGATGTGTCAAAAGAAAACCTACCTATGTGCATGTACCCATCCTCTCTCTCCATCCCTGTCCTTCCCTTCCCTGGCCAGGATCCCTTCCACAAAGCATTGTGTTTTGTGTGACACTGACTTGCACTTCCAACCCTCAGCTGCATCACTTGATGCTCCTCCTAAAATTAACAGGTGCTCTGCAAAGCACAGTTCATGGTGGGCTCACATGAACCCACTTTTTCTTCTGAGCTGCTTCACCCTGCTTTGGACAGCTTTCAATTCTTTTGTGTCTGCTACCCCCAGCCCTATTTGTCCCACAGGGATGAAGGCAGGAGAGTGATGGGAACACTCCTGGTGGGTTGTCACTCCTCATGCTGGCTAGGAGGTGTGACTGCATGGACCACAGGCTTGGTCACGCAGGATGTGAGTCACTTGAAGGAACTCTGCTGTCCTGACATGGAGCAAACAGGGGTAGTGAGTCAGGGGTGGCCTGCGTATGCCATGGCGGAGCACCAGAAATAACCTCAGGCTCTATAGAGGAGCTGCTGACGTGGGGACAACAGGAATTTCAGGATTCTGACAGTGTGTAAGGGGGTGGCAGAGCTCCAGATGGGGTTCCCTGTGGTAGGAGCTGGAGCAGGCTTTGAACCTGTGCTGCTTTTAGAGCTGAAATAGCTTTTCATGTCTGTCTGCTGGCCCAGCAACACCCTCGCTGCACTGAGGAGCCCCTGACTGTGATCTGCTGCACAGAGAATCTGCCAGGGCCCAGCAGCAAGATTAATGTGTCTGGGAATTTCCTGGTGAGACTTTGTGCTGTTTACCAGAAGTCCCTTGAAGGCAGAAATTATTGCATTAAAAGATTAAGGCATCATTAATCATATTTTTTGTCTTCCATTTTCTTCTGGCAGGCTGGCTCAGTATTACTGGTAAGGTTTTTTTGTTTTGTTTTTCTCCATTCAGAAGAAGAAGTTTCTTCGAGTCTTTTCTGTGACTGTGCCATCCTCAGGTAAGATGGAACCTCAAGAAAATTTTGGGCAGCTGAGTGGAATTGCTCACTATTGTGAACACCGACATTATGACCTCCTTGCTTTCCAGGTTTCTTATGAGTGATGTATATAATTCATGGTTCTTCATAAAAATAATATAAATAACTAAAAATACCCAAGGTATTTATAAGATATTGCCAGTGTCCAAAATCTTGCCTGTGTGTGAGGGGGGCAATGTGGAATGGAAGGTGGTTGTAGATGTACCAGTTTCTACTGGTGTGGTGGCAGGGTTTGAGATGGAGGGGATGACCTGGTGGTGGAGCTTCAGAGTGGTTCCCAGCCATGGTCTGGCTCCAGAAAGAGGGTGGTTGAAGGATAGCTTAGATGCTCATTTTGGAAATATTTGGAAAATATGTCCTAACTTTTTAAGCAGAATTGTAATCAAGAAAGAAATAGCTGCTATGATAGAAACAGGGTGAATTTTTAAATTTGCTTTGCTTATTGAGAGACTGCACCACAGGCCATAGATACGACAGAAAGTTGTGTCCTGGCTCCCTGGTGCTTCATTCATTTCCATCCCCACAGCTTTCCTTCTGTGCCGTGTCAAGGAGGGCTCTGGCTGTGCCTGGTACTACTGTGAGCAAAGCATTTCTTAATTTATGTGCTAATTAATCTGACAGAGCGATTTGATCGTTGGGAGCTTGGGCTCCGGGCAAGCCAGTGTTTGCAGGCAGGGTTCCTTCCCTTTTATTTCAACTCAAGCAGGGAAGGCGAGGCTGGAGCAGTGGGAGGCAGCGGCTCCTCCGGGGGCGGGGGTTCGGGATGCGATAAAGCGCGAGCGCTCTGGAGGATGCGGCAGCTTCAGAAATATCTGCTTTCAGCCTCCCCTTTTAATGGAAGTTTTATTTTAGAAAGTTTTAGTTAACGTCATCCTAAAGTTTATTTCCATTTTTATCTTTTAAATAAAGAGGCTGTAAAGCTCCTGGCTGGGTTTTTCATTTCTGCTGGCTGGGGAAAGAGAGGTGAATGAGCTGCTTGTCTCCTGTGGGGATGCTTTAGGGGCTGCTCGGCTCCAGCCTGACCTACCTAGGGACGTGACTCACCGGGGCAGGGGAGGCTGTGGGACACGCTCCTGCAGCCTCTGGAGTGCCATCCATGCATGCATCCTTGCATGCATCCATGCATCCATCCATGCATCATCCATGCATCCATCCATCATCCATCCATCATCCATCCATCCATCATCCATCCATCCATCATCCATCCATCCATCCATCCATACATCCATCCATCCATCATCCATCCATCCATCCATCCATCATCCATCCATCCATCCATCCATCCATGCATCCATCCGTCCATCCATCCATCCATGCAAAGCCCTGTCCCCTGTGCTGCTCTGTCCCAGGGCCGCTGGCTCTGCCTCGCTTCCCGTGCTGCCCCAGCCCAGCAGCGGGCATCCCCAAAGCCAGAGCTAATGGAGAAGAGATGAATCTGTGCCTTGCTGCCAGAGCAAGTCAGCTCTGCAGGTTCTGTGCCGCTGGCAAGGGGAGGGGGATGTGGCAGGCACAGTGTGCCAGGGTCCCGTGTCACAGTGTCCCTGTGCCAGCCCACACCTCAGGGATGTGCTCCAAGAACTGCAGCCCCACTGCTTTGCAGGCTGAGGGCTCACCATCACCTATTGCAAAATACATCTAAACTGCATGGCTGGTCTTGCTGTGCTTTTCCTTAATTTCTTGTTTCCTACATGCCTGGTGTATGCTAAATTTAAGTAAAGTCATATAAAATGAAAGCCTTGTAGCGACACTTTTCCTAAAGAAGCCAGTTTTGTGTTAAGTGGGAGCATTGCAAAGGCCTGTTCCAAAGCTGGACTTAAGCCACTTTGGGGTTAATTTCCTGCACTGCCACAGTGCACCTGGGCAAGTCACTGGAACTACTGTGGGCTTTTGATGGAAGCCTGTGATGAGAGTCCCAAATCCTCTGGATACCAGAATTCTCTGTGTTCCCACACATGTCTCAGCTGCTGCTCTGCAAAAGGGGTGCAAGTGCAGCATTTGCCTCCCAGATGTGATGAATACAAGAAGGATGATGGTGTGTTCTGTAACCTGTGACAGTGTTTGTACAGACTTTCCTCCCTTGCACCTCTCTCCTCTTGGCTGGAGCAGTCCTTCCCAGGGAAGGGTGCACACAGCCAGTGTGTGAGGGTACCTTGTTACTGAGGAGCTTTTTCAGCCCAGCACCAGTGTTAGGACATTTGGACTGGAAGCAGACTTACTGCTCAGTTTATTCTTTGGTTTCCTCGTGTGGAATAGGGGAATTTTGAGCATATGGATAAAGCTAAATCAAAATGATAAGGTATTTCATTTCAGACTGAGGGCATCCACACAAGAATAACTCTTCCAGAATAGCTTATCACATAGACAAACTAAAAAAACTGATCTATTTTAACCAGAGGAATGAAGGAGGCATGGAGCTCTGGGTGACAAGCACAGCTCCCACAAACACATAAATCACAGATCACAATAGGCTCTTTTAGAGCTGTAGAAATGATAGTGCTGTTTTGGTAATGGAACATCCTGATCTAATCTCTACGTGTATGCACTATATTTATATTCTACACATGTATATATTCCAATTATATATATCTAAAAAATCCAATTTACAGGTGTGGACTATAATTAAGAGCTCTGATGTGTACTTTTTACTGAAATAATATGATAGAAAAGAATGTAATTTATCAAAGAAACACTGCTGAATTTATGACGAGAACAGGGAGATAATGGGATTTCTGAGACTGTATGGATGCTCTTTGCAGTCATTTGAGAGGGCAGGATATGGGGGAACTTAACTGGAAATGAGTTTTTTCTGAGATTGTTTTAAAACTAATGTATTTGCAACTCCTATTTTGTGGATGCACACAGATTCTTATATGAATACTGATTTTTTAGATAATTTATTGTAACAAGTAGTTTTTGCCTGGAAAAATCTGATGCTGCAGATTCCATTACAATATATTCTATCATAATGCCAGCCTGTATTTCTTTTTAGTCTAAGCATTCTAACAAATTCCAGACTTGAATTAAATCTGCTGTTCTGACACGTGAAATGTTGCCTAATCATTCTGGAGCTTTGTCAGGTTTTTTTTCCCCCTCCTTTTAACTGGATGAT